TATTTTGAAGGTAAAGCCAACAAAATATTCTGACTGGATGTGTGGTGTAAGGGAATTAGAATATAAAAGGTTCCCACCAAAAGATCATTTTCAACCTACTTTTTTATACCTTATGTTCCAAACATCTTTTATTGTTCAAATTATTAAGCACTTTTGGAGCGGATATGCAAACTACTGTAATACTAATCTAGAGGAGTTTAGCTTCCAAATATTCAGGTTAAGAGTTATCTACAGTAATGCTGCCTGGGAGATGAGAGTGGGTGTGTAGGTCAGGACTGGTCCGAGGACTACATTAACATTTATCTCTCTGTACCTTCTCCACTAGGATGCGGTCTGTCTCTTGCACACTGGTATCAGGCACTTGCTTGTCCAAGTAACCGACTGGGTAAAGTGAATCTCCCTGGCCACTGCCCCGGTCACTTCGGCCCCTAAAGAACCAAACCAAGAAAATAAAGGTGCAAGCTTCCACACTTCATATCCCACATTTCCTGCTCTACCTATCATAGGAATAAAGATGCTCAGATACACAAGCCCCCTTGTGGGTTCGTCAGTCCTGTGCTTATTGGGAGGACTGAAATAAGCATCCTTTAAGCACAGAAACCTCCAAGGCAGAGAAGCCGCTACCTCCCCCATGTGATGACTGTGTGCCACCCATCCTTCTCAAAGAGTTGCGCCTAAGGGCTCAGGTCCCCTTCGTTACTCTGGGGCAGTTCTGGGATGAAGGCTCCGATATCCACGTACGCCCAGGCGCCTCACCTGCTGCCTCCTCCAGGCCCGCTCAGCTCAATGGCCCACTTGAAGCGCCGGCCTCGGTTGGCTACCAGGCTCCCCTGGGCCGTCATGTCGACGGCAGCTTTCTAAAGCCCAGCGGCTTCTCACTCCAAAGCGCACTCGGGTTTCAAACCCACCGGCGCACTTCCTCGCACTCTGCAAGCCCACTTCCGGCGCGTGGATATAGACGTCACTTCTACCCCGGAAACTGGAGGTCCTGCGTACTAAAGGCCGAGTATTTGGAGTTGGAAGAGCCGAGAGGAGAGAGTGGCAGGCAAGCCTTAGAAGTCCCTAAGGCGTCTTCTGAGCGCTCCCCCTCCTTCTGAATATGCCTGTTGTGTGTTCCCTAATCTCAGAGGTGCGCTTTACGGAGGAGAAGGAAAGTCTAACTTTACCTTAAGAATTGAAGTCAAGAAAAGCTTCTTAACCTGCCAGGCGCTCCCAAGAACTCGAGATTCAAATACAGGGTTTAATCCTACCTTCGATGCTGTGTGACCTTGAGCGGGTCATTTAGTAGGTTCTGAGTATTGAATGTCCACGGCGTTCCAGGAACTTTGTTTTTATTTTTTTATTTAATTCGCAAAGTAACCCTGCAAGATAGTTCTGTCCCCATTATGCACAAAGACAAGGTGGCACTTTGGGCTTGGGATTCAGATGGCGTTTTTTAAATTTTTTATTCTTTTTTAATTTTTTTTAAATTTTAGCGTATTATGGGGGTACAAGTGTTAAGGTTACATATATTGCCCATTCCCCCCTTCCCCCTTAAGTCACAGCTTCAAGTGTGTCCATCCTCCAAACGTTGCACCTCTTACTCATTGTGGTTGTATATACCCATCCCCACTGACACTCGATAAATGTTACTCCTGTATGTCCACTTAGGTGGTGATCTGTTAATACCAATTTGCTGGTGAGTACATGTGGTGCTGGTTTTTCCATTCTTGGGATACTTCACTTAGTAGAATGGGTTCCAGCTGTATCCAGGAATATACGAGAGGTGCTATATCACCATTGTTTCTTCAAGCTGAGTAGTATTCCATAATATACATATGCCACATTTTATTAATCCACTCATGAATTGATGGGCACTTGGGTTGTTTCCACAGCTTTGCAATTGTGAATTGTGCTGCTATAAACATTCGAGTGCAGTTGTCTTTTTCATAAAGTGACTTTTGATCTTTTGGGTAGATGCCCAGTAGTGGAATTGCTGGATCAAATGGTATATCTACTTGTATCGCTTTGAGGTATCTCCATATTGCTTTCCACAGAGGTTGAACTAGTTTGCAGTCCCACCCGCAATGTAGGAGTGTTCCTCTCTCTCCGCATCCACGCCAGCATTTATTGTTTGGGGACTTTTTGATAAAGGCCATTCTCACTGGCGTTAAGTGATATCTCATTGTGGTTTTGATTTGCATTTCCCTGATGATTAGAGATGTTGAACACTTTTTCATATGTTTGTTGGCCATTGTTCTGTCTTCTTTTGAGAAGTTTCTGTTCATGTCCTTTGCCCATTTTTTGATAGGGTTGTTTTTTTCTTGTTCATTTTCTTGAGTTCTAAATAGATTCTAGTTATCAGCTGTTTATCAGATGTGTAGCTTGCAAAAACTTTCTCCCATTCTGTGGGTTGTCTGGTTGCTCTCTTGACAGTTTCTTTGGATGTGCAGAAGCTTTTTAATTTGATCAGGTCCCATTTGTTTATTTTTGTTGCTGTTGTGATTGCCTTTGGGGTTTTTTTTTTTTTTTTTTTTTTTGAGACAGAGTCTCACTTTGTTGTCCAGGCTAGAGTGAGTGCCGTGGCGTCAGCCTAGCTCACAGCAACCTCAATCTCCTGGGCTTGAGTGATCCTTCTGCCTCAGCCTCCTGAGTAGCTGGGACTACAGGCATGCGCCACCATGCCCGGCTAATTTTTTTATATACATATCAGTTGGCCAATTAATTTCTTTCTATTTATAGTAGAGACGGGGTCTCGCTCTTGCTCAGGCTGGTTTTGAACTCCTGACCTTGAGCAATCCGCCCGCCTCGGCCTCCCAAGAGCTAGGATTACAGGCGTGAGCCACCGCGCCCGGCCCATCCTTTGGGGTCTTCTTCATAAATTCAGATAGTGTTTTGAATCCTGGTTTCACCACTTACTGTGTGACCTTGGGCAAGTCAAATCCATTGTGTTTCAACCTTCTCCAATGTAGAAGTTAGATAATCTGCCCACTTTCAAAGCTTGTTGTAAGATCAAATTGTACCCGCCACATATGCAGTGTGTCCTGGGTTTTTTTGTTTTTGTTTTTGTTTTGTTTTTTTTTTTTTTTGAGACAGAGTCTCACTGTTACCCTGGCTAGAGTGCCATGGCATCAGCTTAGCTCTCAGCAACCTCAAACTCCTGGGCTCAAACAATCCTGCCTCAGCCTCCTGAGTAGCTGGGACTCCAGGCATGCGCCACCATGCCCGGCTAATTTTTTTTTCTATATATTTTTAGTTGGCCAATTAATATCTTTGTATTTTTAGTAGAGACAGGGGTCTCCCTCTTGCTCAGGCTGGTTTCGAACTCCTGACCTTGATCGATCCACCTGCCTCTGCCTCCCAGAGAGCTAGGATTATAGGCATGAGCCACCATGCCCGGCCTCGGTTTTTTAAATGTGTTTTTAATGATGTCATTACATCTGCATTGTTATTTGTGCTGACTGGATTTTGTATTCAGTTGTATACCTTTATCATAATTGGACCATAAATGTCCATAATTGGACATTTTAAGTTGTCTCCTAATTTCTTTTTCTTTTATGACCAGTGTTGCTGTGAACATCTTTGTATTGTCAGGAGTTCGAAACCAGCCTGAGCAAGACCCCATCTCACTCTAATGAAAATAGAAATAAATTAATTGACCAACTAAAAATATATATAAAAAAAATTAGCCACTCATGGTGGCGCGTGCCTGAAGTCCCAGCTACTTGGGAGGCTGAGGCAGTAGGATTGCTTGAACCCAGGAGATTGAGGTTGCTGTGAGCTAGGCTGATGCCACAGCACTCACCCTAGCTGGGGCAACAAAGTGAGACTCTGTTTCAAATAAATAAATAAATAAATAAATAAAAATAAATAAAACCAAGAGAAATGGTCCAGTAAAGAATCTCCTATATGGCTGGGCGCAGTGGCTCACACCTGTAATCCTAGCACTCTGGGAGGCCAAGGCGGGAGGATTGCTCAAAGTCAGGAGTTTGAGACCAGCCTGAGCAAGAGCGAGACCCCATCTCTACTAAAAATAGAAAGAAATTAATTGGCCAACTAAAAATATATAGAAAAAATTATCCAGGCATGGAGGCACATTCCTGTAGTCCCAGCTACCTGGGAGGCTGAGGCAGGAGGATTGCTTGAGCCCAGGAGTTTAAGGTTGCTATAAGCTAGGCTGACGCCACGGCACTCTAGCCCGGGCAACGGAGTGAGACTCTGTCTCAAAAAAAAAGAATCTCCTATAATTTTGTTTTATTTCCCAACCTACCCGAGTAAGGAAACTTTTCCCCCCTCATCACACCTGTTAACATCAAATGGAATCAGTGTTCCACAGAACACAATGTGGGCAACTGCTCTATTCATGCTAGAATTCTTCAGAAGAAAGGTGAGGGTCCTCCCTATAAACCTCTACTTCTTTTAAAAACATTATGAGAACATCATTAGAAATAATTGATTATTTTTGGAAATGGAGTTTCAAATTGAAATTTAACTTTTAAAGTTTCAAGTTTTTGCACAAATTGTATTTTGCAAGGAAAAGAAAACTCTTATAAGATTTTCCATAATCCTGGGAAACCTAGATCCTCTTTTTTTTTTTTTTAATTTTTAGTTTGTAAATGTCTTCCACAAGGAAACCTCGATTCTAATCCTGACTCCAAATAAAGCACCTGATTTATTTGAGTTTGGGACTCTCTTGATCTTAATTTCATCATGTATAAGAGACTGACACTAAATGATTTCTGGGTTCTAAGGGTACCTTCCAGTTCTAAAATGTATTAAACTTGTTTTTAAAAAAGAACATATTTGCATACTATTCTTTTCATGCAAATATACTCATAGAAAAACAAGACTCAAATGATTAGACACATAAAGGAGTAATGAGATTTCAGATAATTTTTAATTCATGCTTTCCCATACTTTTCTTAGTTCTCTGCATTGTGCAGGTACTACTTTTGTAATTAGAGAAATATAAATATTACTAATTATAACCTAACATACTCTACACTTAGAAGCATAGTGGTTCTCTGTTCTGGATACATATGGGAATCAACTTCAGAGCCTTTAAAAATACTGATGTCTGGGCCACACCTCCAAAGGTTCTATTTCCTTTATTAGAGTGGGGCCTGGCCATCAGTATTTTTTTATGGCTGTCCAGGTGATTCTACTATGCAACAAGGATTGAGAACAGCTGACCTAAAGCGTTTTGCTGCTCTAAAATAACGAAGTTTGAATTTACACAAAGTAATTTAAGAAAACAGATTTTGAAAGCTTCCTTGAATGCCTCCTACTAAGCTAAATCTGAATTGGAAAATGATGAGAATACTGAAATTGTAAAATAAATATTAAACTCCCCTTATTTTGTACCTTTGAGCAAATATGATTTTAATTAAGGAAAGTAGAAAAAGCCAAACCAAGATTCCATACATAACTCATAAATTGCCCTGCTTGACTTTTATAATTTATGCCACCTGTACAGTGTCTGTGTTTGTTTTTGTATTTTACCTTCCACCTCTTTCTAGGAGCCAAGGAAGCTATTTCATGCCATTCTTCCCTGGGCCAGTTGCATTTAGATTGAAACCTGAACAAGGAAATTTCCTATTCAAACAAGCAGATTTGCAAGAATGGATCCCTCTGGGGGGATGGGGAAAGCTTTTACAGGTATGTCTTAAGTTTTTGGTTTATAGCATTTCACAATGTCTCTATAATAATTGAGTGGCTATCCTTCCTGGTTCAACCAGTTTGCCCAGTGTTCCCTAAAAGCTCCTGAGACTATTTCAGCTTCAATAAAATGGGCTTCTATTAGAAATCTCAGTTACTTGTATTATTTTAACTCTACTATTATTAGTACCTTCTGAAAAAGTTCACCTTAAACTGTTTTATCCATGACGCAATTTATTCTGTGTCAGTAGTGGGGTCTTAACAAAAAGAAACTTTTTTCTTCATCTTGACTATTTGCATTTCACACCCCTTTAGTGAAAAACAATTTTTTTTTTTTTTTGTAAGATTCCTCACTTGCTAGTTACTGTCAGGTTACTGCATTATTTCTGTGAAGATTACACTTTTTTTTTTTTTTTTCAATTTCTGGTTCATGGCTGCAGTGTCATGAAATGCCCATCAGTGGTGACATAAACTAGTAGTATAGTGCTGGCAGAAGATATTAGTAATACTATTCTCCTTAGCAATTAATTACCTTTTCTTCATTTTAGGAGGGCTGTTGTGCAATTCACTTCTTAACAAGTTCCCATTATAGCAGCTTCTCTCTAACACTTGCTTAGGAAGCTGGGATGGTTGCCATTCCCACAGATCCCATTAAAGGGTAAGAATAACAACTATAGCATGAGTCATAATGATACATTAATGGCCTAACAGGTCTCTCCAAGCTTGGTTACTCTGGATTCATTCTGGTGATTAATTTTAGCTGTCTCGAAAGTGGGCTGTAGTGTCTCTACATCAAGTATCCAACTGATGAATCCAGGTTCTCTGGGCTAATTTTTAAAAGCCTCAGTCAGTTCATTTATAAAACATTGTTTTATAATGGGAGTCTTTTGAAGAAGGATTGTTATGGACTGAATGTTTGTGTGTGCCCAGAACTCATATAATGAAACTCTAATTCCCAGGGTGATGGTATTCAGAGATAGAGCCTTTGGGAAGTTCTTAGGATTAGGTGAGGTAATGAAGGTGGATTCTTCTTGATAGCATTAGTGCCCTTATAAAAAGAGACACCAAAGAGCTCTCTGCCACACCCCCACCCCAGTCCCCACCCCTGCTGTGTCAGAACACAGTAAGAAAACTGCCATCTGCAAACCAGAAAGAGAGCCCTAACCAGGGAACCAAACCAGCCAAGCACCTTGATCTTGAATTTCCCCACCTCTAGAACTGTGAGAAAATAAATTTATGTTGTTTAAGTCACCTAGTATTTTGCTATGGCAGCCCAAGCAGAACAATATGAAGATGAATGGGATTCAGAAGAGTTGAAGGGAAACAATAGGGACTTTCTAGTACTTGAAAGACAAAGTCATCTCTTAAAACATACACATATATGTAGGGTTGTTTAATTTCTCATTATGTAAACACGAATATATAAACACTGTCCACTTACTTGCTTGTTTCACTTAATCTATCTTGAGTGTCTTCCATGTCTGTCACACAGATCTACCTCATTCTTTTTCAAGGTTGCAGAGCATACATGGCATCAATATATGATAATTTAATCAGTCTCCAACTGATAGACATTCAAGTTGTTTCCATTTTTCACTATTATAAAAAAATGTTGCTGTGAACATCCTTGGGTACTTGTTGACAAAGTTCTATGGGAGAATCAGACAATTAGGATTGCTTACCACAGAGTTTATACAGTTAAAAGTTGATAGGTTCAAATAGGCCCTCTAAAATGTACCAATTTACACTTCTAAGGATTTGTGGATTAAATTAAATTATTTTTAGAGTCTTATAGTGGGTTGAATAGTGTCTCCCCCCCCCATTCATGTCCACCCAGAGCCTCAGAATCTGACCTTATTTGATAATACGGTCTTTGCAGATGTATTGGTTAAGATGAGGTCATACTGGATTATGATGGGTCCTAAATCCAATGACTAGTATCCTTGTAAGATTCAGATGGATCTTATAAGACCTTCTCTTAGAAGAAGAGAGGTCACATAGACACACAGGGAAGAAGGCCATGTGACAATGGAGGTAGAGATTAAAGTGATGCAGCTATAAACCAAGGAAGCTAGGAAGAGGCAAGGAAGGATTATTCCCTGGCGAATTCAGGGACTCCAGTCTTGGTAATCTTTCTAGTGTTCCCATCTCTTGAGGCTAGGGACCTGCTTTCCTCTTTCAAATCACATTCCCAAGGACATTGTCCTGCTTCTGATGATTGCTAACCTGCTAACTGGTGACCCATTTCATTTCCTTCCTGCCTGCCTGCTTACCTTGAACTCCCTCCAATCTGCCTGTTTGTTATGCGGCCCAGTTGAATTGAACAGTCGCCCCACCTCATCCCACCCCTCACCAGCAATTGCATAATTAGACTTGTTTTGCACATGATCATACCTTTCAGTTACCCTGTTCTGATTACCAGGCCATCAGCACTACAGTGAGTCTGTCTGTCCCTTGAGCATTCACACACACACGCGCACACACACCCCACCACCACCACCACCAGCTGGTCTAATTCCAGGACTGTCCTTTTCCAACACAGCAGTTAACCATATTGTGTTCTTCTGTATCGGATAAATCCCTGAACAGGTAAGTTAGGGGTTGGGGGTGTTTTGCAGAAAGAAACACAATCACTGCACTAGGCACTGTAGTAGGTGTTCTATGTGGGTTATACTATTTCCCAACATCCCCTGAGAGGAGAGTACTATTATTCTCATTGTGCAATTAAGGTAAAAATGGTGTAGAAAGAGCCCAAAGGTAGTGATCTAGGCTTCCAATAGAGATGAGACCTGCACAAAGTTAATCTAACACGCAGCCCCCTACCATCTTCCACTTGGTGATAGTATATCCTAATTGTGGGAAATGTAGTTGGCAGAGGAGGGAGATGGTCTCTAGAGATTCAGATTTGAAAGTTTATAAATATCAAACATTATCATAAATGTGTTGGCTCACCTGCTTCTCAGCTGTAGAGTTGTAAATATGAACTGCAGATGTATCAGAAACAAACTGTCTTAACAACAGGATCCTCTACCACTCAATACCTCCCTACCACTCCCACCCTCCACCCCTCAAAAAAACCCAAACAAAATTGCTGCTTCTGCCACCAAGCAGGGCATCTGTACTGTAGTGGTGTTTGAAACAATCATGAATCTTGTAAACCAGGAGCAAGATGTGCTCATTTCCACTGCTGCTGCCTTATCTGAACTATTTCCTACCGCTGCTATTTCCTTCCACAGCTTGCACAGGAAGTTGGAGAAGGCAGAATGTCAGTGCTTATGGAATGGATGAGCTATTACTGTCTTTTAAGTCCCTTCAAGCATTGTCCTCTATCAGGCCCAGCATCTGTCCAAATCAGTGAGAATGACACACAATGTAGTAAATGCTGTGGCTCCCTGAAGCTCCAGACTGAACTATAGTGCTGCTATACCTGAGGTTCTTGCCATCAGTCCTCTCTCCTTCCCTCCCTCTCCCTAGCCATCCTATATCCTGGTGACAGATCCATTGTTCTAAAGTACTGACATAACTCAGTCACTCCTCTGCTGAGCAGTCTTTCCTGTCTCCTCACTGCCTCCAAACACCCTTGCTTGATAATTCCAGGTATTCACAACCTGTCAGATGCCTACATACCTTTTCAGTCTCCATTCCTGCTAATCTCCCAAGCTCTTTGCTCCACTCAAATCAGGATAAATGGAGGTCCTGGAACTTAATTTTCACTTCCCCCTCTGTCTGGAACACCCCACCTGTCAAAGTCCTCTCTGGCTTGTCAAGCAAAGCTCCACTGTACCTCTCCTGCTCTGCTACAAAGAAATGTACACAGGACTTTGCATGAGTGGGTGTTTATGAGTCTGGATTACTCTACACACTGTCCCTGAATAATTCTGTATGTCTTAGAGAGGGGGCTGTGAAGCAGGAAAGCTAACTCAGCTGCCCGTTCACTCAGGAGAGAATTCGGGAATGGCCACAGGAGTAGATTCCCTGGGAGACCACCCACAGTGAAGGCTAACAGCAAATCACCTTTTTGTACACAGGCACTGGTATAGGGATTTTTTTTTTTAATGTGGGGGCTGTACTTTTTATTAAAAAACCAAACTTGCCAGGCACAGTGAGTGGCTCACATCTGTAATCCTAGCACTGTGGAAGGCTGAGGCAGGAGGATCACATGAGCCCAGAAGTTTGAGGTTGCAGTGAGCTATGATGATGCATGCCACTGCACTCTAGCCAGGGCAACAGAGTGAGACCCTATCTTAAAAAAAATCAAATTTCATTGAGCCCCAAGGGGGAAAAAAATCAATTTTATTGATAGGAAAAGTATCAGTGAAGAAATTGACCTGCACTTTTTAATAACTAAAATTGTATGATTTGTATACATTTAGAAGTAGCAATACAAAGGCAGTTTTATTTTTATGTTAAATTACAAGATTTAGGGGCCTAGGCTGCTCATCACTGGTATAAACTTTATAACTTGGGTTTGGAGATGAACGTGCTTGAGACTTTGTTCCCTAACAAGCTCCAGAAATGAGAACATTGTTTTCTCTGGCCTTCAGGCACCCGGAGGCCTTATTTTATCTGAGATTTTTCTATGTTAACACAGCAGATTCCTTAAGTCCCTGGAACCCATTACTTATCTTACCCTATAATCCAGCTTCCCTTGAGGGTAAAGAATGTCTTACAATACTCTTTTTACCATCTTCTTCTGGTGAGGGACCAGCACAATACCTTTCGTATAGTGGGTCATCAAAAAATTCCTCTTCATGATGATGAAGAAATAAATGGCTTGAGAGAAAGTGACTTTACCCATATATGTTGAATTTTTATTTTCTTTAAAAAAAATCCACCTACTTAGCAGAAGTCATACTCAGGGAATAGTCTTCATTGCACACCCATGGAACTCAGGGCTCTAGCTCCCTTTACTCACTTAACCCAGCTGTACTCTCAACAGTTCTATCTGTTAACAGGTGTGGCCCCATACATAGTCATGTGCCTGTTTGTGCTTGGTACAA